TTGTTGCAGGGGCAAAACTTTCCAAGTCAAAAATGTAAACCAGCGAAGAGGTGTAAAGGTGTCGGCGATAGAGAGTCGAAGGTTTTGGTGGCACATGGGACAACACCTGCAAACGTTCGCAAAAACAATGACAACAGTCGATGCGGGTTGAAAAAGTTCCTATGATAAAGACCGTTCCTCACGCTACTTGTAATTTCAGAGGGAGAGAGAGACAAAGAAAGAGAAGAAGGGAGAGGATGTGGAAGACAGTAAGAAAGAGAGAGAGAGAGAAAGAGAAAGTTCAATCGAACGAGAGCGAGAGAAAAATTGAGAGAGTTGGTGACCTCGCGTTGATCGTGATGCGCATATGCGAAGGCTTTTTTTTATGTTGTTGATGTTGTTTCGCGTAGCTGATGGTTTTGGAGAAAGTTGGCTTAAAACAAACCCAGAGATGAGTTTGAACCCAAGCCCGCTCGAAGGGGTGATGGGGGGACGGTAGTAAATTTACATCGTGATGTGCCCGAAAAATAAAGAAGAAAACATTACAAAGAGAAAAATGCGTGCGACGTATCAGATGTGAATTGGTTCGTATCAGGGAGCCGTGCGTCTTGATCGCACAACCTGAATACGAGGGGAAAATACCCTACCCAGGAAGTTGTGCGCTTGCCGCTTGGAATCTCAGATTCAGGGGGATTTGCTCAGTGCTACACTTTAAATGGTTATTATGTGTCAACATTTAGTATTATCTGAAATTTGGACGAGATGAACGCGTTTACGCTCTTAATTGAGCTCTAAACCATGTCATAAAGACCATCGAGCTCGTCTATAACTTATCTTCCCTTTTACGTTTCTCCTGGGAAATCTTAGGTTCGTGTCCTAGTTCATCATAGCTGACATAAACCGTTGCGGAGATTTTTTTTTGACTCTCAAATTAAGATAATTATTATCTTGAGTGGGATTCAAACAAGTTTTATTAGGTCGTCTTTTTGAGAAAAAAAAATCAATGGCTCAATCTCGCTTTTCTAGAAATGTGCTATTCACAGCGGGAACTGAATAAAAAGAAAAAAATCGTCTACAAGAAAGAATGTTGCTAGGTTTTGGCTTGACGTGCTTGCAGAAACTGCCTGTTGGAAATGTGGTGTTTGCAAACCCTGTCGCTCATAGTTATATTGCCACGCTGTGCAAATTGTTTGTCTGAATTCAACAATGTATTTACACTGATGCTTATGAATGTTCGTAGAGTGGTCCCCGCGTAAAAGTATTGAATATACTTACTATTTTAACTTACTATTTTAGCTTACTATTTTAACTTCAGAAGTGGCCTGTTCACGCCCCGTTGGGGAGGGATTGCGATTATGATATTGACAATCCCAAAATGAACCTGGTTAACTATCAGTCGCTCAAGAAAAAAAGGAAACAAAAAAGCCGGTAAATGATGACACAGCATATTATCAACTAGATTACTGCCTCACCATCAATGCACTTGCTTACTAGTGTGCGAACACTACGGTTTAATGCTCCCGCTTATACAGTAGTCATTCTGAACACAATTTATTATCTCAAAGTCAACCCTGTTTATAGTGCAGCTTTTTGTCTTTTACATCTCACTCATTGCATAAAAATACTGATGTCCGTAACATAATTTCGACTTCTACTTTCAACTAAGAACGAATGTTGCGGACTAGATCGTAACTGCGCGTTACATGGGCGAAATTTGGACCGACCTTAGCTAAATATGAACTCAGCTCTTACTTTTGATTTGGACAGCCATGAATGATTACGCATCCTTCACGTCATTTACTCAATTAATCGCTCATTTAGTATTCTCAATCAGATTGTGATGAATGATTGCTTAGTGGCATAAGTTGTCGCCTAACGACTCGCCGAGTGTCAGACGAGCGATCACAGCAGAATAGACATGCGAGCACGTGACACGTGGATGGAGCGGACCTTCTAAGTGACATCACGCGACGGTCGCGCCACCCTCTAGGACATCATTCAATTACTTTATCTACAGTCGCATTCACTTCTTTACATGTTTTCGTCACCGGTATTTGCACATTCATCCTTTGTTGTTACGTGACGTAACACACCGCCTCGATATCACCCGCAAAATAGACTTTTATAAAAAAAAATGTGTAAGCGATAATTTAGTTAATGAAACCACAATAAACTAGTAAGCTCAAGGATAGGGTTGACGTATGTGAACGCTTCTATACTTTTATTGTTTTTTCTTAGTGGCTGCAAGAACATTAATTCAGTCTCTGTCTTAGAACGTAAATCTACATGGGATCAAAAAGATTTTTTTTAATGGCGTTATATAGTTGAATGATTTTCTCGAAGACCGCTGACGTTATAGGGAAGAAAACGTTGCACACAGTAACAAATAAGGTTAATCGTGAAAGGGAAGGCGCAGTTAGACATAGAGAATTCGGTTTAGTTGGAGGCTACCTTAAACGCCGTGCAAGTCGAAGGCGTTGGTATGTTTCGAAGTGACGATGACGAGGTGATGCTTATTTGCTTGTAATGCATGAGATATCCCTGTGTGTATGTTGAAGCAAAGAGGAAACAGGTTGGCAGGATATTTTTTTTGTTTGTTTTGTTTTTTTAAGTGTCGTGTATACGTTCTGCGCAATATGAATGAGATGTGACGATGGCTTTGCGTGTACGTGCTTGAGAGGGGAGGGAAAGGGGGGGGGAGGTGGAAGTGGGAGTGACGCAACTGACACGTCCTCATCATGACTTTCGTGACACCTCCTTCTGCGCCATTTACAAGTAGATCGCTCACGAAGCGCCTGAGGAGGCTACCGTTAGCCAGGCTGTCCCGGGTTTCGAAATGCGGAACAATACCGAGGAAAGCATTAGACGAAGCAGTGATGTGGCGCTCGCACTCAGTTTCGCCTTGAATTCTATGCATATTAAGCGTCAGAAGTCATTGCGAATAGCTATAAAAGAACGCAAAATACTCACGAAATCAAGATGAGAAATGAACAAAAGAAGGCGAGGGGCGTACAGCGGCAGAAAACGGAATCTAGATCACTATCGACGTCGCTTGAAGCATTATAGACGTCCGAAGTGTTTTTATTAGGCTTGGCTGGTTTGAGTCTTATGGCGCTGAGAAGACAGCTCACGCTAGGTGGCCGAGTTTTAAGAGAAAGAAGGCTGGAGAGTGAGAAAGAAAGAGTAAAGAGAGAAACAGGAAGCTATTGAATAAGATGCAAGAATAGATTGATGACGGGTTTGTTTTCTTCTAGAAGAAATAGAACTTTACAACTTTATTTCTCTTTTTTTTTTGTCGTCGACTTCGAAGTTTTTGCGGCATTCGTTCGGTATTCAGGCGAATGAGATTACTCATACGTCTCTCACCTTAACACCGTCAAATATAGCTCGGCACTCAGCGTCTTTATAGAACGAGCTGATTGTTTCTCTACTAGTGTGCATTTTATTAGTTTCTTCAGGAGTCATGTTTGGATGTTAGAAATGTTTATGGAACTAAATCTCCAAATCAAACTTGGCGTTTCACAATGACAATCGCCGCCTAAAAAAAAAAAAAAAAAAACATTCAATTTTTTGTGATGCGCTAGAAAAAAAAATAATTAAGAGATGGTTTGAAATAACATTTAATACGTAAAGAATGCGTATGCCCAAAGTGGGTGACTTTTTCTTCTTTTTTTTTTGCAATCCTAGTACTTATTTTATGAGGCAAGTTTCGCTTCGCTTCGTCCGTTCGTTCGATGTTGTACAGTCAGCGATGCTCAAACTTCACTTATTTCCACAAACGCTTTTCTAATGGCGTATGAACTAACACCGCATAGGAGGAAAATCGTGCTAACCGCGTCATCGTTCGTGGATTTCCAGCCCGTGCCAAGACACACCGAAGCGCGGCAGGCCTCGATATAAACATACGTCCTCTGTTAGGTTCAGTCAACGCGTCGGGGACGCACTCGCGGCGACGCAAACGCGCGTTCCCTGCGACACAGACGCAGTGTACCCTGCGACGCAGACGCGCGTTCCCTGCGGCGCAGACGCGCCCCTGACGGCGCGGACCCACGCTAGACGGCGCTGCTAAGATCCACTAGCGATAACAAAAAGGAAGGAAAGGCGACGGTCCTGTATTTTAGCTATGATCGCAAGAACCAAAACCCGACACGTCTTAATAACTGCCATCACCGGCGAGAAAAATGTGCTAATGCTCACACAAAAAAGAAAAAAAAAACGCAACGACTTTTGTGAGTAAAGCATCGGCAAGCAACAGTCAATCAGTAAGACAACGCAGTAACAAAAAACAGCCGAGGGAAATGGAAATATTTCTTCATAGCTAAAGACGTTCACACAGTCAGTAAAACAACGCGATAACAGAAGCTAGCCAAGCGCCAATGGACTGCAAATAAGTCGTCGCCATATGAGCCGCCCAAACAAACTATATATAAATAAAAAAATTAAGGAAAGAAAAAAAGACCCGAGCAAAGTCGGAGGGGTGGCCACAGAGCCGAAATAATCGGAAGCCTAGACCTGGAAACCCGGAAGCAAGCGTGTGTGGCCTCTCATTCCGGCGGGCCAGATTCAATATGCCCTTGTGTTTTCTCACACCATTGAGTGGATCAGCCTCTAACAGGAGTTTCGGGCCTACTTTTTCACGTAGGAATAATAATAATAGTGATAGAAAGAAGAAATATAATTCTGGCGAAAGAAAACAGACTGACTCCAGAGATGTCTGCTGTGCCTACAGTGGGAGGCAAAAGCAGTTTCGTCCTGGGTTCAGGACATCGGAGGGGTCTTCTGACAGGTAATGACTAGAGATGCCGGGAACTTTTGCCCAACATCAACGGGCTCGGAGAACTTTCTACCTATCGGCAAAATTCAACGAAATTAGGCTTATGGACTATGGCGTCCGACTTGTACGCAAAAATGTCGAATGGTGAGAGACCAAAATTTTTACAATAATTTGTGCTATTTTACGAAAACATTACTAATGTTTACAGAATATTAAAGCGAACATAATACTCTTAACGCGTTATTAAATCTATTGATACGAAACCAAGAAACGACAGACCCAATAAATGTGATTATCCTAGGCCAGGTGGCGTGAGCCCTTCTTTCAATGGTCGCCCATACGCACGAAAGTCGAACTTTAGTCAAACTTTAGTCGAAACTCGAGCTAAAAGCTCGAAAAAGTTGAACCTGGTCGAACTCGAACCTCGACGAATTCGTGACATCCCCAGTCTTGACTTGAAAGTGACTTGTCTTTGGCTGCCGGCTTGGATTCAGGCTTGAGCTGCTGCAACTACTGTTGCTGCTGTTGTCTGTTTTAGACGTGGCTTGTAGAGGCGAAGAAGGGTGTCTTGTAGAGTGCAGGGAAGGGAGGCGAGTGCCTTCATCTTGGTTAGGGCGCGTACAGGGACAAAGCTTGGACTATCTTCGGGTCGTGTTTTGAGCCTTCTTTGAACTCGTCTAAGGACAGCTTGTTGTCTTGGTTCTGCAACGTGTTGCGTGGAGTAAGAAAACAAATGGCATTAAAATCGAGTGTAAAATTATTTATGGTCGGTGACAGGTTAAGAGATCAGGGGAACCTCCTCCCACCTCTTTCCACTTTGGCAGAGCAAACGGAGAGAAGCCGAAAATACAATAAAAATATTTAACGATAAAATTGAGGACAGCGGAGCCCGTTGATAAACTAAATCAAACAGCACCTGCTTAAAAAAGGTAATATATATATATATATATATATAACTGAGAAGAGAACCGAAACGTCGAAGAGTAAACCGTCCGTTGTTGCTGTTTTCACAAAGGGTTTTCTTTTCTTCTCAGTTATACCCACGCCTTCCGTACCCCGCCACCATGCACGTTATATATATATAACAAGTAGATCTAATATATATATAAATATATATATATATTACCTTTTTTTAAGCAGGTGCTGTTTGATTTAGTTTATCAACGGGCTCCGCTGTCCTCAATTTTATCGTTAAATATTTTTATTGTATTTTTAAGGTAAGTTTGAACTTTCCTATCAGATAACATTAAAGGTGCCCTGAGGAGGTTTCTGAGATCGCCTAAACAAGGCGAAAACTCACTCTGATGGCTCTCAGCATCCTAGAAATCCCTAAATCATGACGATACGCGGCCAATTTCTTTATTTAAAAACAATCAAAGATCGTAACACATCGTCTCCGGCGACGGGAGGAACATGTTCTGAAACCATGGGCCATCGTCAGCCAACCGCGAGCGAAAAGTCTTCGCGTCTCCCGCTGGTGGAACCGGGGAGTGATATCTCGAAGGTGCGTGGCTCGTTGTCCATACTGCCCGGACTACGATTCAACCCAACGACCGTGCGCTCGAGAGCTGACGACCGAACACATCACTCCAGCAAAAAAACAAAAAAAAAGAAGAAAAAAAACAAACATAATTTGCAGTTTTTAAGACGATTATTGCAGTAATATGTTCCATCTCCGCGAAAAATTAATATTGTTCGACTACTTTTATTTGCTTTTATCATCTACAAAAGCATACTCATTTTGTAGTAACAGCGTTTGCAATCTCAACGAAATGTCGCGTTTTCATTGGTCGCATGTGGTCCTGGCTGCCGAAACAATGCCCCTCCCATCACCAGAGATGCCCTCGGTGTGTTCGATCTTTGATTGCTTTTTTTAATAGGGAAATTGGCAATGCATCGCTGTGATATAGTGTTCGATCTTTGATTGCTTTTTGATATATGAAATTCTAGGATGTTCAGAACCCAGAGTGAGTTATCGCCACATTTAGGCGATCTCAGAAACCTCCTCAGGGCAGCTGAAGTTTTGTATCGTCTCCCAACCACCAGCGGAACACATTCGAACGAAGTCTCGGCTTTCTACTACGTACTGCATGTTTTTCTTCTGCCCGGAAATACGATTCGCCTTTACCAGATGACACCGTGTATACCACTATGCAGAGAACCTAGATTTAAGAAAGACAGAGAGAGAGAGAGAGGGTTGGGGGGATCAACTGAAAGGGCATAGAGAGCGTTTTCCATGTATAATGACGGACGCCTCCTGCACTGACTGCTCGCTCCTGCGCATGCGTTGCGTCCTCACGTGGCAAGAAGGAAAGCGGGGAGAGAGACGGAGACGCTCGCAAACGATGGAAGCACGTCATGTCCCTGCAGCTCCTAGTGCAAACGCGGCTCGTAAACCACGTGACTCCAAACGAGCAGTTGGAACACTCTGTAATCGAGGCAGGCTACAACTATGCTAATTCCTGGGAGCATGTAGTGTCACTGACAGCAAGAGGATCTCGGGGCGTCTTTTTCAGATGTGTGGCCGATCAGCACGCGCACGCTTCGCCTTCTGTCGTGCTTTTGACTGCGCGAGCACGCTCCAAGCTGACGAGACGCCGAAGCGTCGTCGAAGGTAGGAAGCTCACGCTGAAAGTTGAACATCTGAGGCCCCTCCCTGCCGTTCTCACTCTGTCAATTAGTTTAGCATCAAAATTGTCACGCAAATGGAGATATATAGGGCGTCCCGGGCTCGATCTAAAATGGCCCGTAAAAATCGACGCCTGCACGTAGAAATCTGAACTTTTCGTCAAAGGTGTATTTCACAGGTCGGTTTTTTCTTGTAAAATTACAAAGCGTAGCTCCCTTTCTATAAAAAAATATGTCGACGCAACTTGCCAGGGTCAACGGCGGGAGGCGCCGCAGACGACCAAGTCGAGTGGCGGGTCGCGTTTGGCTCTCGTATTGATAGATGATGCTACCTCTTTATCGAGACTTCTCGCGACCACCGTGGTTTATTAAAAACGAACATAGTATTTTTGTAATGTACCTTTGGTAAATGCAGACAGTAAAACTTAAAAAAAAATTTAAGTAAAAAAAAACACGTTTGCATAACGACGGCGCTTTTGCTGTCAACGGATTTGGTCGGCGTGTCGTCTGCTTTCTTTAGCTGTTGGGTACACCTTCGGACGTTGCTCCCGACGCCATCTATCAATACGCGCACCAAACACACCCCGCAACTCAACTTGGTCGTCTGCCGCGCCGCTTGCCGTTGACCCTGGCAAGTTTCTTGGCCATATTTTTTTTATAGAAAGGAAGCTACGCTTTGTAATTTTTAAAAGAAAAAACCGGCTTGTGAAATACACTTTTGACGAAAAGTTTAGATTGCTGCGTGCAGGCGTCGATTTTAACGGTTCATTTTAGATCGAGCCTGGTGACTTGGGACACCCTATATATATATATATGTTTACCCCACTGGGGGGGGGGGGGGGGGGGGGGGGGAAGCGTGTCTCTCTTACCCTGCAAGTTCCCAATTTACTGTTAAACATTCCAGGTTATTCACACGACCGCAAATATATTCTAAAGGCTCAGTCGAACGTGTGTGGTGCATAACTGTGAAGGCACTCTAGAACAGAAAGGTATAGGTAAATAGCAATTCTTTTTTCCGATAATGCTGATCGCAAAAGTTGCAAAGATTGGTGGTTGTTACGAGCGCCCGCGCCGAAGTATATCTAAGCGCTCTGTTTGTTTGTTTGAGAGTGTTCGCTAGTTCTTTTCTGCTGCGTTTACTTCATCGACGCGGCCGGGTTTCTCTTACCTTGTCCAGTTGCTCGAAGATTCGATCAACCCTGGCCCGCGGGTCATCCTCCTCGTCTTCTTTTTCTTGGCTACCCTGGGAACAAAGAAGGTCACGCATCACTAAAAGATCACAACTGCGTGATGCACGTTGGCGACCCCAGGCTATCAGTCATGCTGCATAGGCTCAATTTTCAATCTATAAAGTGCAAACCTGTGGCCGTCCCCTATCCGACCAAGACCACGCTTTCTTAGCGTCTAAAGGATCATCTTCTCATTGTAAATATTTTTAAACGCACACCAACAACAACCTAAAACGCTGCAAGAAAAATTGTGGCACTTTTCTTTCTTTTTTTTTTTTTTTTTTTAGAAGCGGTTACAGAAATGTTTTTTCAACCGAAACGTTATATAAAGGATAAAATACCGAGCGAAGCAATATTTCCCTGACCGTAACAACAGAGTTTAGCGATTGCTGTAAAATGCTATTCGGTACCAAAAAGAGCGAACAAGCACGTTTTAATTCTCGGTGAAAAAACTCAAAAGTGCAAGATCGTGACTGTATACGTGAATGTTATTAGATCAACTCAGTCACAGAACTGCACTTAGACGTCACCGCTTCCGCGAACCGTACCTCCCCTCCCCTCCCATCCCATCCCCCCCCCGCTTATGGTCAAGAGGTCCAACGAGTCAAAAGGTCCAACGAGTCAAGAGGTCCAATAGCCACGTGACAGGCGAGTCAAGAGGTCCAACGAGTCAAAAGGTCCAATTCGAGTCAAGAGGTCCAACGCGTCAAGAAGTCCAACGAGTCAAAAGGTCCAATTTGTGTCAAGAGGTCCAACGCGTCAAGAGGTCCATCGAGTCAAGAGGTCCAACGCGTCAAGAGGTCCAACGCGTCAAGAGGTCCATCGCGAACTTCATATCTGTGTTCCAGTCTCTCTGTTCTAGGACTTATTCATACCATTTCTGCGGAAGTGTCTCTCATATTCCCGAGATATAAAATACAAATGTACCTCAGCATCTCGCATTTAGCCTTTCCTTTCATGTACCTCAGTATATGTAAACGCAAATACTTCCTTGGGTAACTTTGTCCAGTACCGGGTTTTATATGTTTTATTAAAAATATGATGCACTACTATTTTATGCTTTAGTTTTTATTGACTGAGTTCGCCGATTCACTAAAGAGGTAAATAACACAACATGGGAAGAAGCTCAAATATCACTGAAGGGCGTCTTTAAACGAGCCCAAATTATGCCATTTGGCGTCCAATAGAGTGTTGCTAATGAATGTGAGCATTGTCTCCTTGAAACATTATGACCGGTGCAAGCTATAGCGGGTTAATTTGGGCCGTTGGTTTACTTAAAGGCAGGGAGCAGCCACAAATACTTATGCTAGCGATTTTTAATTCCTTTACTGCTTTATTTTTGAGAATGCTGTGAAATAAACCATGAAACTGAACGTTTCATGATTAAGCGTTCTTGACACGAATTACATAACACTTGTTTGTCGATATCATTTACTTTTAGTTGAAATTACGCGATGTGTTAGTCGGTTGGAATTGTAAGATGGTGGGTTACTTGCTCAACCATTTTTAGAAAATTGGGTCATAGAGATTGAAGTCGATTGAAGAACAGTTCGTGTCGGAAAGCAGGTCGATCTCTGAAGCCGATAAATCTCTACTGTGTCCAGTGCTAGGCCATGGAGAATGGAAAAATGACTAACTTTACATGCCATGCTGCGCCAGGGCAAACTGTCTCTTCGAGTTCTTTGAAGACCAAGCACTTCAAAATATAAAGGAAGCTATTTTGACAAAACGTGAACAAATTTAAACAATTATCACAACTTTTGAAAATGATGTCACAGAAATAAAAAAAAAAAAAGAACTACGTTCAGTTATCCTGACGTCAAACGCCGTAGTAGTGCTTTAGTGTGATGGTAGACGTGGAAATAGCAAATAACTATGGACATATCCTTTGTATGTGACGAAAGATGTGTTCAAAATAGTTTTACGATTATTTCGAACCCGGATGTCGAAGTAGTCACTTCCTAAAAAAAATGCATCTCAAATCTCGATATTCGCGGGGGAGAGCAACACGGGAGATGCAGATTTACGACTTTGTGGTCAGGGGTAGAAGAGAGAAGGCACACAGGTCCCCAACAAACGAATGTTGCTATAAGCTTGACAGTTTATAACAACAATGATTTCCAGTGTTTACAAATCCAGTGCCCAGCATGCGATCCCCACAGCCCACGGCGCGCCTATCTGTCGCTTCAAAAACCAAGCAAATCACGGGTCATACGCACGAACACTGTTTACATCACCGGCCAATTAATTAAAGCCGTGTTCGTGAGATCCCCCCTGCCGTGTGGAAGACTTCACAGCTCAACTTTTTGCTCTTTTTTCGACATTTTCTTCTCCGCCTTTATTGTTAGCATCTCTGTTGTCAGCTTTTTTAATGCGTGAGCATTACCTGGCTCAGTCAGCGAAAAAGCCGCCGGCAAAATCCGTCGTCAAAATCAGTGACTTTTCCAACACAATAATAATTTTAAAAAAAACTGGGAATATTGGACCTCTTTACGCGTTGGACCTCTTGACACATCGAGGCACGAGTCAAGAGATCCAATATGGGTCAAGAGGTCCAACGCGTCAAGAGGTCCAACGAGTCAAGAGATCCACGGCGAGTCAAGAGGTCCAACGCGTCAAAAGGTCCAACGCGTCAAGAGGTCCAATATTGGACCTCTTGACTCGTTGGACCTTTTGACGCGTTGGACCTCTTGACTCGGAATCTCCCCCCCCCCCCCCCCAAAAAAAAAAAAAGTCCGCCTCTTGTGGGTTGACGCATCAGCGTTTTTTAGGGGGATGGCTGCCGTGGTGACTACAGCTTCGCAATTTCTTCAATCGCAGCGTCTTGATAGCACTTCGCCGTAGCGTATCTAAAAAATGCAGTTCTTAAATTTAGTTCCTTGATTGCGCTTCAAACGAAGGGGGGGGGGGGGGGGCGAAGTGGGGTACCGTCTTCCGCGGGGGTTCCGCAACTGAGTTGGTCAAATAACTTCGGTGTGGTACGTTCATCTTTTCTTCACCATCCGGTTCTGTCTGCTCTTCCATGGCAGTTGCCATTCACTTGACAATGTATGCGGGCGTCACCGCCACTGGGGCTAATCACATAAGGTCTTCCTCGTCGGTGTGTGTTACTAAAACACATAACCCTGGACACGTCTGAAAGGATACGATTAACAAGTATACCTCTCAAACTGAGAACTAGAATTCAATGCAATGTCCGTTTCAAAAATAAAAAAAAAAGAAATCGTCTCTTTAGCATTTTTTAACGTCGCTCTAAAGGCGTAGATAGCATTTATAGGGCCTCTTCGAGTGCTCTTCCTCTTGGGGACACAGTAAGGAGGCCAATGAAGGGCTCCTTCCGGGGATCTTGTGGCCGCGTGACACCCTTCAACGACGAATCACACGTGACGTGACGGTGTCACTTGACTTCGTCGTGGCTATATCCCAGCTTGCATGCGAAAGCGCCAAAATCTGACCCTATAAATTGTTTCCGTATAAAATAATGGCAAGAACCAATTGACTCCCACCTCAAATCAATTCATTTTTAAGTCAATCGCCTCCACCTGGAGCACATCTCTAAATCACTATATTTATACATGCAATGCCATGACGTGCGTTGACTTCGAACACTGTAGACTGTTCCAGCGTAGAACCCTTGGCCCGTCGCAATCTATTCGCGACTCCAGCGACCTATAGGGGGCGCCCCACCAAACAAACATGGCGGCTGAGTCCAGGTCGCGGCGGCTCGGCCGGGCCGCCTGAACAGGTGCCGCGTTCAGTTTTAGCAGATTTTCTTTTGTTCAATGCCCAATTTTATAGGTACTTGAACTGAGACGGTTAAGTGTAGCCGGTGCAGATAAACTTGCAAAGCATAGTTTTGTTTTGCCGGTGTTTTTTTGTTCTTTTCGTGTCAAACTTTCGTTTCGGAGATTTCGTTCAAAACCGAATCTATGGGCTCCGGAGAGACGGTAATATACTAATCAGTTTTGATCACCTAAGGAAAGCGGCGAGGACTATAGAATTGTTCCCCAGAGAGTAACTTTTCAGCTAACTCGCATGCCTCGACCATGCGACTTATCTGTCCGCGAAATCGAGCTTTTGTGCGTATCCGAGTTTACGAAACAGCTCCAGTCGTCTGCTCGGCCAACAACACAGGCTGCAGGAAAATTACGAAAATTAAGCAACCGCTTCTTGAGCCAAGGACCATCGCCGGCGCCCCACTAAGCAGCTGCTACTCGTATTTCAATTCAGGTTTTAGTAGTAATCGAGAAGTCATTTTGACGAGCGGGTTATGTATTATATTACGTACTATGGGGGGGGGGGGGGGGGGAGGGGGAGTCCTACTAAAGCGATATTAGTATATCCTTCGGGTTGAAATATGAGCTTAGTTGACTAGCTATTAGGTGAGCTGCTGAATAAAAGTATATTTGACAGACGGAGACATACTACTTAAACTTAGCTAAATGGTTCTATAGCCGGCAACACGGGGACAAACTGAAGAGAGTCTTCATTGAAGATCCACGCAGAACCTCTCTGCATTGAACGGTGAAAATTAGTACTTTTTTTGTGGCCGGTCAACCTGACCAATGAAGACATATATTGCTGATGGCTTCGACGTCCTCGTAATATAAATATTGGAGGCGCGATAGGTCAAAATGCCGTGACAGCATCTAACGTTGCGATACTTGTCTCCCACCTTTTGAAAACAGATAATTTCCCTCATTCATCATTTGCAGTGAGCAAGTTTTCCTGAATCAAGTAATTGCGAAATCAGTCCAACTCCTTCAGCGTGGTCCAGAGGCTTTTTCGGCGAAAAGCAGCCAAAATGAATAGCCAGCGCACCGACCGGCGTGGGTGGCTCAAGCTTGAAGTTAACCGAACACAACCAAACTCAAGAAAAGCAGCTATCGAACCTTCCCCTTCACTTGACTGCAACATTGATGTTCCCTCCAGTATCAGTTACCAAGCAGTCGTCACTTTGAATGTGATTCGAGACAGACAAGAAATCAAAAAGTTTTTCCGTGATTCCTCCCCATCCAAGAAATCGAATGCACGCGACCGTGTGCTGTGAAGTAAACGGGCTTTCAAACACGTAATAGAAGAAAACAATCTACTGAGGCTTCACCACACTAATGATCACTCAGGCAAACTTAAGAAATATTCGGACCTTCGTCAAATTACATCGTTCGCCACCGCGCCGACAACACGTCTCCGCGGAAGCCACCAGAGACGCGGAGGGGCGCGGAGCGACCTGGACCGGCTGGTTCCCGGTTTTCCCGCTTGGCGGCGTCCGTTTTGCTGGAGTCGCGAATAGTTGCTCTGGGAGTGCTTGAATAGTGAGCCGGACCGGAATATTGTTTATATTGGAACAGTCAACAACAACAAAAAAAAAAAAAGACAAAAAAAATTTTTTTTTTGTAGCCAAAGAACACGCGGATTAGTTCCGTAACTTTTTTAGGACCGTTACGTAAGCATGCTGATTTTCACAGACAGTAAATTTACAAACAGTGTCAAAGAAGAACGAAACAAAAACACTCGTTACATTGGGGAGGGAAAAGAACATGCCTGTCAACATAGCACTTTACAGACGGCTGAGTTGGGAAAACGCACCCCCCATCACACGTAAGTTAAAACAAAAAACAAAAAAACAAAAAACACGAGCGCTATTTTTTGCATTAGGGTTTACTGTATTGCATATTTTTTTTTTATTTAGATATATATAAAAGGTAGTCTTTAGGGGCGCACAAATCTAAAACAAGCGAATGCCCGTAAAAAGCAGACAAACGTGAAGGTTATTTTATATGCACTTCTCTCGACATTGTTGATCCTATTTAATCGCAACTCCCCCCACTTCACGCTTCTATATAAAATAAAAAGAAATCAAAAGGTGACGTCTTTCCTTGTTCCGTAACACCCCCATCTGTTCATCTCTACAGGAAAAAAAGAAAAAATAAAGAGAAAGAGTAAATTCACGAGCAAAGCAAGGCCGCCTAAAGTCAGACTAAATTAACGTCGCTGCGCTAAGCCTGTGTCACGTGAAATAGGCGATGTCGATCGAACCAAAGCTCGGCCGTGAAAGCAAAACGCAACAAATACAACCATAAAAAAAAAATTCAAAACAACAAGACAAATCGACAACAACAACATTGACAGCAATGACAACGGTAACAACATGGATGGCGACGACAGCCGCGTCAACAGCAAGAGGATTGGCCGATTTTCGTTGTCAAACCAAACTGTCACGCTCAAAAAAGACTTCGCAAAAACTTTCGACCGTATCTGCCACCGGCCACGTGACAAGGAGGGCCTAGCCTTTTTTCTCAAATTGTCGGCACGCTGGTAATGCTTTTGTAGAGCATTGATGCGTGAAATAAGATTCTTATAACTGATGACTACTGACAGCCAGACTTGTATCTAACGCTTTACTTTTCCTTTGTATTATTATTATGTAAAGGAATAACGATTTAATTGTTTTTTAAGAAAAAAAAAATAATTTTTTTTATTCTTTTGGTTAAGTAACGAGTAATGAGAAGGGAATGCGTGCAACGCAAGTAATCAATTTAGTTTTCGTCCCAGCTCACGCCTGTCATTTGCACAACGAGGGAAAACGGAGAGACCATAAAAAAGAGGGGCAAACGGTATGTCAGTATACCCGAGGTTATCGATGAGTGAACGCGTTAACAAGCAGGGAATTATTAACGACGAGAAATACTAAAAACGGCTACTGCCTTATAAAAAAAAATTTGAGTAACGAGAAAATAACGCGTCAATTTCGAGCTAAGGTGACTCCTTCCTCTTGAATCGCAGCAATGAGTAACGACTAACGGTATGTAATTACTCTATTTCAGTAACATGTACAGTATGTATGTAATGTGCTATTAGCTAAGGAAACGCAGGGCGGCGTTTGATGCATTTACGCAGCTTGCTTCGTGATCCGTTCAACGGGGTTCTTATCAGATAATGCTGCCATCTCATTGGCTTCGGAGAAATTGTCACCATCATCATCATATTTATGTGACTATGAACAACAATTGGCTGTACTGGGATTCTCGGGAGAAACGGCAATAGTCAGCGACAACTTAAGAAACGCCGGGCGTGGCGAGTGCCGATATTCTCGTTGACGCTCCGGTTCCTATATAAGACTATGGCGTCCGTCTAGTAAAAGAACAGCCACGAATAAATCGTGTAGCAGAGAACGCGAACACAATTAGTTACACCCTGCATACGTTAAGCTCTCGGTAATACAGTAGTACCTCGTTAGAAAGAAAAAAATCGCTTTATTCGAACTGTCGTTTTTGACGAAGTTTAATGCGGTTCCGACCGAAATGCGTGCATTTTGATCCGGAATGCTCGAAGCCTATCGGAGACCGATCACACTTATTACGAAGGCGGAGGTGCCGGGTTTTACGGGGGTCACATCATTTAAATTTGAGTGAAGGGAGATAAACTGCACGGCTGATCAAACCTCATCGAGAAGCTCTACTCTCTGTAGAAAGTGTGTGTGTGTGTGCGTGTATGTGTGTGTGTCTGTGGGGCGGGGGGAGGGTATACCTACAAATGATATTGAACGAGAGCGCCGTTAGCAAAGTTGAACGATTCCCTGAATATTTCCCCATTCGCACTTGTATTTAAAGCAAAAATGTAGAATTTGAGAAAAAAAAATCGAAACAACAAGAAAGGCTCATTGCGCATGCGTCCTGCCGCGAGACTTTCGCTATACCCGGGGACCGGTACTGCGGAAATTCACGATGGCGATAATGCATCAAAACAAAAGAGCACATTCTCGGCTGCGTCTCTAGCAAATAAAACAAAAGGCTCTCCAAATGCATGCGCACCTAATTGTGCCAAAAACCGGCGAAACCAAAGAGAGAGACAGAGAGAGAGAGGAAGATAGAGAGAGGAAGAGAGGGAGAAAGAGAGTTGAGATCAGCCACGCACTGCGTCAATTCATCTTCACTACGTGGCACCAAGAATGGCTTTGGATAAACGCGGGTTGGCGTGGCTGCGAGGCGGTCGCGCATGCGCAGTAGGCGAAACGATAGACGTGAGTATCTGCAGCGGGCGCACTCGCGCCTCGGCCTCCACTCATGATAAACGACCGTAGCCGAACAAAACAACGCAGGACGGCGGAATAAATAAAAAAAAAATGAAAAGAAACCCGACGGGAAGATGGGTGTAGAACCAATTCGTCATTGGCGAACAAAAGTCAATACGCAACAAAAATATGCATGGATGAGCAAGCGGTAGGAACGGTCTACGGAAATCGGCCTTGTTCCCGGGGGAATTGATCGAAAATTCTGGCACTATTGTTCGACGCGCAGCTTTCACCCTCTCCGGTGTGAACAAAATGCTGTATTGTCTGCTGTCTTTCTTTTTTTTTTTTTTTTGATCTTAACATGGGACACAAAACGTGCCCCCTGTACCAGATCCGCGTGTCAGTGCGGCTATTGACTCGGACAGCAAGGCAGGAATGTTAGGTGTTTTTTATCAGATCATGCGTCAATCTCATTAACTGCGAAACAATAATTATGATTCTTTGAACTAGACGCTCCTTGTGTTTCTTAAACTGTCAGGGACAATAGTTAAAACGAAATGCCCTCAGGCGACAGACTAGAACGAGATGGATTTTGCGAAGACCCACCTAGTCAGCAGAGACCCGGCCAACGTTCGAGAACAGAGCCCGATTTTCAATAATGCCATGTCCCTTTTCAATGTATTGTGATTGCGTGTAGGTGAAGCATCACATTCTTTGCTTCAACGGCTGCTATAAACGCTTAGGCTATCAAATGCAGAAGCGCCTTTGAAAGGGGTGCATTGTTTCTAGGAATATGATTAGACTGGGACGTGTTCGGGTATTTGTATTCTATTGTTTATTAAATAATTTTGGTTCTAATAATAAACACGAAGTGAGAAAATTATTTGTATTCTCCGATAGTTTGGGCTAGAAAACCTTAACGTAAGCTCACTCCTTGTTGTTTCCTTTCGATCAAGCTGATAATTTAGCAGTGCTGCACTACTTAACTCTCTTGCGTCATGTACTGTAACGCGTAGACTGCTTGTTTTAGTTGTCAGTCGTCAAACTTGACCTGTGCATTTATTCGTGCTATCCTCGGCAACGTAGAGGGGGGGGGGGGGGGGGGGGAGGGGGGTACTTACCAGCATTTCGTATATAGCATCTACGATGTTGTACATCTCTTCTCGCGTGATGAAACCGTCGTTGTCGACGTCGTAGAGTTTAAACGCCCCTGAAATAAGAAAACAACACAAAAACACTGCTTAATTGTGGCGTTACCACTAGTCCACAAAATAGAGACACATTCGGACTTCAGGATAATACAACGGTTTTAGAGCGCAGCCCTTAGGCGCCCGTTTCCGGGTCGAGAGGCGTCGGCGTAAACGCGCGTGTTGCATCATGACACGTCACAGTTTCCCCGCGAAATTTAGCGGGAAAACTGAATTTGTGTTGAGGTCAACGTGACGTCAATTTTCCCCCTAAATTTCCCACTAAATTTAGGGAAACTTTTTTTGCTAAATGAGAGGGAAGGAGGAGGAGAGGGTACGGAGAGGGAGGGGAAATAGACGGAGGGAAATTGATTCCCTCCTCCTCCTCCAAAGCTGCGCTCTAATTTTGCATTGCAATTGTAAAAGCCTTTCATTTTTGTTTTATTTTTTACGCTTTACAGATTTGTTTTAAAAAAGGTCTGAAAGATACACTAACACCGTCTGTGCGGGTCAGTTATGCAGCCAGGGGCACAAAATATAGGGTGCTAATCCTTACGATAATTTGAATAATTAATAAAAGTTACCAATAAACTTTTTATTTAGTGAAGATAAACAGATGGTGTATATTAGAAACTCGCAGAGCGTGGTCGAGAACCTCTTAATCAATAAATTGTGAAATAAAACAAAGAAACTGAGCGCGTGGGATGCGTGGTAGTCTGCTAAAGTTGCCATTCGTGCAACCGGCGCCATGTTGCTGGTGCGAAAACGAGGATGATGGGAGGAAAAAAAAAACGGGAGAAATGCGAGGCATCTTTTAACACCGCCAGCCTTGCGCCTATTTGCACGTGTGGTAATTTCTGCACACAGCCATGCTTTTCACGCGCCCAAAGTCTTTCGAGAATTTACTAAAGCGCCGATCTCACTACGCATCCGGCGCATGCGTAACACCGCCATAACTTTAGTTCACAGGAGGCAGACGGCCGCGCATGCGAGGGCTCGTGCCGTCTCGTGCTCCACACGCGCAGAGCTGCAGCGAGGCTGTTACGCGTGCAGAAGAACTATAGTTCCCTCGATCATAGCCTGGCAGCTCGACGACGGATCCATTGAGTGCCCGGTCGCAGATTTGGAGCGCGAGGATCTGGTAGCACAGAGCATCAAAGAGCCATTTCTCGTGGAACCCGGACGTCAGCGCAAAGCTTTTGCAGCGGCGAAGGCCCGAAACACACTTTCGGGTCCTCGCGTCTCGCCGCAGCGGGGCGACAGTCACAGGGCTCTCATCTCCTACGCTACCTGCCGCTCCACCTTTTCCATCTCGGTGGCCGCTTTTCGTGGCGATCTGTCAGGCTTTGTTAGTATATATGAGGCTATGCCTCAATGTATTGCGGCAGCGGTGTCGTAGTCAAACTGGCTGGTGAGATCGGTCTATTAGGTAGTCGTCAGTGGCACTCAAAAGGCCTCTAATTGGAGCCATATGTTTATCTTCACTAATTAAACAGTTAATTAAAAAAATTGAGTCAAAACCACCTCATCGTCACTATCACCTGCACGGACCGCGTTTCACAGATTTGTTAGAAACAGTTTGTAAAGCCTAAAAAAGCGCCCTGTAAAGTCACCGAGAGCTTAAGGAACTCAGGTCGTTGCAGGTTATGTTCACGCTCATTTCTTCGTGATTCGATCGTCGGCGTTATTATCGGAAAATGATGCAATCTCATTGTCTGTGGAGATTGCATTACCCCCCCTTGTTTTTTTTTTTTTTTAAAGTTGTTGTTTGCCAAAGTGTAAAGCCGGAGTATGTCGTCTTTAACTCGGACGCCGCCATGCCGCTTTGTTGGTAATTCTTAATGTTATTGGCTTTCGAGATCTTGTTTTATTATTTGCCCTGACGTATGCCTAACAACTTGGAGTGATTGTGAAACGAACTGCAAATTCGTTCGTGTTTTTCACGCTTAGCGTTGGAAAGAATATAAAGTCTTCAAGTTCCTATTTGTCATTTTGATTAATCGTAACGGTCGATGTGATAAATTGTCGCTTTTTCTCCAAGTCAAACCGTTCATTAGTTATTCTTTTTATTGTTTTTTTTTTTTTTTTTGTATCGCTTAATCAAAATTTTTGCATGCCGTAGAATTCAGTTTAAAATTGCGATATGGAATAAAAACAATACGAATGCATATCAAAATGTCCTGATAAATGTGTACTTACAGAGTAATTTCTCTTCAACGTTGCCTCTGGACGTCACTGAAAGTGCCCGGATGAACTCTTCAAATTCAATGGAGCCGTCCTGACAATAGAGCACGGGCGTTAAAAAGGAGCAAAATCAGACACAAAAAGACGTTAAAAATAGTTATAAATTAAGGGCCATTATTTGCATGATAAACGTTAAAAACCACAGGTAAATAGTAATGCTGCTTGGCTCCATGTTTCTGTCTCCACAATGTGGAAGACTTATTTAAAGTTGTTGTTTGCTTCTCCACCGGATGAATCATCAGAAAATAGACGCCCTGTCGTGTGTTCCTCTTTTCCCTGTCCTCGTTCTCTTTTTTGGCTTATTTTCCATCATGCAATAAATTCAATTTTCGTCTGGCATCTCAAATTATCTTTAATGCACAACCGGCTAATTAAATCACGTCGCCACCACCCATACAATACCACAAACTGCCAGATATAGCCAAGAAACCATTACCCGGAGGCGAATTATATATCAACATATCAATACTGATGAGTTCATTTAATTCTCCAGTCCACCTGATTAACAGCGGTCCCCGCTCGAAACGACGAATTAAATTTCCTACATAAAACCACCACTGTACATGTTTTGACGCAATATAACCATTATATGACATGCCGTCGTTAAACGTTTTAAAAGCCTAATTCCATTAAACTCCCGATAAATCAAGCAAACAACGTTTTCAACAGTGATATATTAATAGATATAGTATACGTGAGCAGAGCATTAGACTTCTATACACATAGATGCACCTCCTAAAGTGTCAGCTTTGATTTCAAATTGTTATTCGACTCTCGAAAATGATAACCGAGTTAATAAATGGATGCAGTGTGACGTGCAGCTTTGTATCTGAGATGACACGCGTACATTACTCGTGGCACTCGAACATATAATCTAAGAAATGCCTGCGCGTCTGCTTAGCCGCAAAACACTTGAAGAACCAATCTCGGCGATCTACGAAATCAGCTCAGCGAATGATGAGGCAGAACATCTTTTTTGACCCCAAAATGAAATCTGCGCTGTGGCATTATGCAATGCAAGCACGACGCTGTGCATAGCGTAATGCCACAGAGCAGACTTCGTTTTTAGGTATAAACGGATGTTCCGCCTCATCATTCGCTAAGCTGATTTCGTAGATCGCTGAGACTGGCTCTTCGAGTGTTTTGCGGCTAAGTAGACGCGCAGGCATTTCTGAGATTGTACGCCATACTTAAACTGACGTGGGCTGGCTGCTATGCAGGCAAGGAAACTGTAGAGGTGTGCTGTTCCCAACCCGCTGTTACAATGTATCGCGAAAATAAGCTCATTTGGTCGTGAGAATATAACACATCGTATAAATATAGCTCAGAAAAAAAAAGTTGGCATTATGGTCGAGTATTTTATTTCCAGGATGGCTCTATATGCTTTTTAACGCATGCAGAAAGCAAAAAGAAACATATCACGACGTCCCTCCCATCCCCCCCTCTTTTCTTTCATGCGGTCCTCGGCCGAACTAACGCATATTCAAGATCGGAGCTTTCTTCGTATTTTAGTCATGAAGGTTTACCCCGACCTCCGAACGTTGTTGCCGATATTCTTTTGAAAAGCCGCAAGAAAACCCGTCCACAATATAAAAAAAAGAAAAACGTTCCTCCCATTGCTCAATGCTCAAAGACGCATTGGGTATTACCCTGTTTCTGCGGGGCACCAATCCTAAAAAAGGGGCTCTGACATGATCCTTCCGTTTCAGTCAACTGGTACGTTTGAACATATATTGTGTGGAAATTCAAAGACTGATACTTTAACACAGACGACAGGATGTATGTGACTACATCTTGTCGTTCAGCGCAACGTGGACATGAATACACAGTAGTGGACAGTAGAGACCCCCCTTTACACAGTAGTTTCTCGCTTTCGGGTTTACCTTTGGCTGAGAGCAACTTCTCATTTCTACCTCAGTAAGGGCAAAAAAAAAAAAAAAAAAGATCATGAATAGGTTGGACTTAAAGTCTCCGCGCGAGTTAGTGATGTTAAGAGTAGAATGGTGCTCGCATATTTTTTTTTCGCACTTGAAACGGTATGTGCCGTTTAACTTCCTCTTTTACCCTCCCATCGGTTACAGAAGCGCGCATTCGTCAACCGCGCGCCTCTTCCGCTCTTCACATGCCATATCTGCTTCCTCCGCAAGCAGACAACGCATTAATTTTTTTTTCGAGTACTTTTTTGCAGGGTGTGTTCAGACAATGACGGTCATACGGGTGTGATGCCTATTGTTTGTTTTCAATTATATTTTCATTTGAGGTAGCAAAACAATTACTTTTTTTTTTCTTTATTGCAACCTGCTATTGTTTCGCCTTCGCCACGCCCACCGTCGGTTGGCTCATAAGATTCCTGACGTCTCCAGTTCATATGCTCCGTTTTAACTTGCGATGGACCACAGCCGATGCTACGAATCATACAGGTCAATCCAATGTCATTTGACTTTCATGTGACTTTGGAGACGGGGGCAGTAACGCGTTATGACTTGATACGCAAAGTTGGTTGAGATAGCTCGTAACGTCCTCCACATTCTATCGTAATTAGAAACAGAGTATAGCGATGTCTAAATAAATCAATCTATTTATTTTGTCAACCGGCTACCCACTTTCAATACTAACCAAAAAAAGTGGCGCAGTGCAGTGCAATCTACCAAGCACAGAACTCCAAGGACCGAATGCACCGCAAAGTTCAGTTTTCATAGGCAATATCAGCCATATCACTAATAAGAAAACTCGCAGGTTTTTTCTTTGTATAATGAACCTAGGTATCTGGGAGATAATGCGACCAACTACGGCCACTGTGTATGTGGTGCTAAGAGTACCACTAGTCATCGAGACAGAAAGTCTTCAACGGTAATTGAGTGCAACTTAGACCTGGGTCGCTAAACTCGTCCAACACGAAGTTGGGGCCGAAGCTCACGGAACGCACCGATTGGCCTATCACGATGATGACTTCGCGTTTTTTTCGTCGACGTCCAATCGGCGCGCTCCACGAACTTTCGGCTCCAATTTTGTGTTTCACGAGTTTAGAGCCGCTGGAAGAACGTTTATTTTGCTAATTCAAAACTATATAATGCAACATGTATTTGCGGATTTCGAATTATCCGTTCTTAATGGTTCATTGAGGAAAATTTTGAAAAAAGTCGAGGACGATATTTTTTGTTAATTACCGCGCAGTAATTATCTTTTTTTTTGGTTTTTAGAAAAAATTAGGGCAAAATTCAAAAACTACTTAAAATAGCTAAACGTCTACTTTTTTGTAAAAAGTGAACGAAGCGTGAAATACTCTGTACGAAAGTTTCAGCCTAAAAACTTGCTTCTATTAGCTGTTACAATATCTCCGAAAAATGCCCAAATATGAAAGAGTTCTGCAAGAGGCCAATTTTGCCATTTTATTTTAGTCGAAATATAGCTTAAATAAACTAACACTAACTTCATCAAGTAATCCAACCCGCGTGCTTCACACACAACAACATTACGTTTTATAGCATTTTATTTTTTAATCCTGCGGCCTTCAATGTTGCGCCTACGCGAAATTGGGAGAATCTCAGTTCCACCTCCAGCTCAGATTCAATCTATTTTTAACGAAAACACTATATGTTTTTTTTTTACAAAAGTAAGGTTTATTATGTTGTGAGGACATGTTTTGCTACCTCATAAAAATTTAATTGAACAAAACAAGATAGGCATGACACCCCAATGGCGTACCGTCCTTATATTAACACACCCTGGTAACAGTTCCGGTCCGATCATTTTTATATTTTGAAATCGCCCTAAAATCCACATTTGACGAATGCCAATATTAATTGTTACAGAGATGCGAGTGTGAGACCTCCGAATTCCTTAAAAATGCCTTCACCCCCTATGCCATCACTAAAAGAAAATGAGGAGAAAACGGCGGATAAAGACGCAGGTTTTGACATGCATGTTCGCGCGCTAAAACTTTTTTCTTTGTTTATTTTTGTGCGAGGCAATCTTTTTACTTGTCATAGCTAGAGACAATAATAATAATAAAAAATATCGAAGTTGGGATTGTCAGTGGCCTTTTCGTAAGTAGAAGCATTTTGTTGCTTCAAAAAATAATACAAAAAAAGAGCACTGTAAAAAGTAAGAGGATTCAGACGTGCTAAACAGAAGCAAAAAGCGACAAAGAGAGATTGAGAAAAAGGTGAAATAGAAAGAAAGAGAGAAAGAAGGATACAGAAAGAAAGAGTGAGAAAGGTGGAGGAAGAGATAAAAGAATCAAGGGGAAAAACGTCGCCGGCTCACCTTATTTTCGTCGAACACCCTGAAAACCAGCGACGCGAATTTGGATGGATCCCCTCGAGGAAAGAACTGCTTGTATATTCTCAGGAACCCCTGGGAGCGGCGGCGCAGTGAGTTCCCGGCGCAGCATCCAGCGCGGGCAGGCAAAAGGGGAGAGAGGGAAGAAAAGGGAAAAGAGCACACACAGAGATGAAAAAAGGGGGGAATCAGGGTCGACATTGGGGAGGGAAGATGCACTCGACCGTGCGCAGACGGAATACCTTATTCCCAAAAGTCGCCAGAGCTCACGTCGAACTTTCAAATGCAAAGGGGGGAAAAAATACAACAAAGAAAAAACGTCGTTCCAAGCGTTTAGAGTCTGGGTCGTCTCCGCGAATGTATTTTTATGCAAATTACCGCCGAAGGCTCCGAGCTCCTGGAATGCAACGGAGCGACGGAGCAGTTTTGCTCCACCGTACAAAATACGGCTCCGGTTGCCCGTCCTATAACATTTAACAGACATTATGTGACATTTTTTTATATTTTTTTAGAGCCACTATTGGCACTATAATCTGTGTCTCAATTGAGGGCCTACAGCAGCCCACGCTATGCGATCCGATGAAAGGCAATCAGACCGCTCTAAAAGTGCACCGTCACGACACTCGTTGTCTTTGTGGGTTTTCGCTATCACCGACTAATGCAACCAGGCGCGGTAAATGCGTCGTGATCCTCCTACGCTTTTGTTTCTGTGCCCGATTGGGCTTGGCGCGTGGTAGCAGGACAGCAAAGACAACGAGAGTGGAATTTCGATATGGTGGAAAGTTGGGCGAGTTGGTGGTATACGCGCTTAACGACTTTTACTTTTATGTTAAACAACGAGAGTGTCGTGACGATGCAGTTTTTATACTGCTTGATTGGCTCCATCTAATTGAGATGTCGGTTCCGGTTGCACTTGAAGATACAAAACAAAGTACACAGTAAAATAAAAATGTCTACGAGAAAATTGTTTTGCGGAACACGAGACACCAAATCGCGGCGAACGGAACCCCGGATCCCGGAAGATGACAAAGCTCATAATATAATTAGTTAAAAAAAAGAGATGTGGACAGAGAGAATTAACGTGATGTTTCTGTTGTCTTTCGCTGGGATGATTTTATTGTTCGCCGCGATCGATGGCTGTCTCCGCGTCCTCTGCAGAGAAGCGAACTCACATTGAAACACTTCGGTGTACGTGTCGTTATATTTTTATTTTTTTTACTCAATGTCTCGGGGTTTATTTCACGTTAAGTTTACACCAGCTCCTTTGCGCACTCACATGCAGCTCACATAGTTGTTTCTTTTTTTCGGTGGGGTGTAGAAATCTCATAACCCTGGTAAGAAGAATGCGAGCGGAATTTTACGAGGTCAATATAGACGGCGCCTGTAGCCACTGGCAACAAAGCCTGGCAGATCGCCACGAGAAGCGGCTGCCGAAAAGGAAAAGGTGGAGCGGCAGATAACGGACGAGAGGTGAGCCACATGTCTGGCGCCCCGCTACGGTGAGACGCCGAAATACCTTCTCCCGAGCGAACAAGTGCGTGTCGGGTCCTCGCCGCTGCAAAAGCTGTGCGCTGGCGTCCAGGTTTCCCGCGAGAAATGAATCTTTGATGCCCTGTGTTACCAGATCTTCGCGCTCGAAATCTGCGACCGGGAACTCATGGCTCCGTCGTCGAACTGCCATGGTTTGTGAGTATAGAGGAAAAGTGCGTAGAGTCACCTAAATTGGGGATTTTTAGCGAACCGTTACCGTGTTCCGCGTACCGCAGTACCGGAGCCTTTGAAGCACGCTCTTAGGCGCCGCCCCCCCCCCCCCCCCCCCCTTTTCTGGTCATGGTATTTCTTGCTGGCGCGCGCATAAAAGCATATACTTCAAAGGCTCCGTAGTGCGGTACGCGGAACACGGAAGCAGTTTGCTAAGCGTCCCTGATAACTACTGTTCGCGCATTAAGCCCGTGAAAGTATTAGCCAGTTCTAGAATGGCGAGCCAAAAGGTGTACGTACGAGAAAAAAAGAAAAATAGCTTCGTCGCCACAGCACGTGTCCCGATGCCCAAACCACGTTTCGGACTGGCGCGCGTCAACAACGCTATTTGTTTGCGCACGCAAAGCTTCTCGGTACGCGGTCCTAAAAACTGAGGCCAGATGGCCAAAACTTTCTTACCCCAAAAAAGTTCGTAAGTTTATCTTACAACAAAGTTACGAACTTTTAAGTATTCCCGAAGTAAAATGTTCGTAACGTTTGCGTAAGTTGCGACGAAATACGTAACTTACGCAAAACTTACGAACATTTTGGTTTGGGAATACTCAAAAGTTCCGGGAATCTGGCCTCCGACTATTAACCTCTATATCTTTGATGTGCAGTTTTGTTACGCCACTCCTTAATCGCACCCTGACACCCTTTCAAGGGGCAGTGAATATACAGGGTGTCACAAAAGAAAATTTACACGGTCTTTTTTACCGCAAAAATAAACTAGGCATCGCCGAACGCTCATTCTCCGCCCAAAGGTAGAGCTAGAGGTCACAACCAGATGCCAAAGTTTCAGCCCGATCCGATAACTTAATCAAAAGTTATAAGTGATCTTCTGAAAATTTCAATGGGAAAATGGAGCCCATTTCTGCCCGTTTTCGGTTTCTGGTGCCATAGAGCCCCATGTCTTTGAAAACACCGTCGGCCGCCATTTTCCCATTGAAATTTTCAGAAAATCACTTATAACTTTTGATTAACTTATCAGATCGAGCTGAAACTTTGGCATCTGGTTGTGACCTCTAGCGCTACCTTTGGGCGGAGAATGAGCGTTCGGCGATGCCTAGTTTATTTTTGCGGTAAAAAAGACCGTGTAAATTTTCTTTTGTGACACCCTGTATTTGAGGTAAGTGCTACGCGCAATAAGGTCGGGTCTGTGATGAGATTTCTGAATACAACAAATGTAAGAAGGATGACCATAACACAACCATTGGCTGAGTTTAGAAATTTGAAAAAGAAATGAGCCAAGGAATGGTGCGGAAACAGGTTCGAATGTTTCATGAAAAGCCCTGCAGTGTTTTTGACGCAGTGCGAATCGGTAAGTGCGCCGTGGTCAGGGAAAATATTAGAGGTAAAAAAGAAAACAAAAAAAACACAACGTTTTACGATTTTTCGAGCTTGCAACAGAAGCTCCGGCCAGAAGTTTCAAACTCGTTATTACTTCGTGAAATTGTTACAAATTAATTAAGTAAATTGCTTCTATGATAAATGCCCAAGGCAGTATCAAACGATTTTTCCACTACACGACAAACCCCTCAACCTCAATGAGCATCACGTCGGAAGATAGATTAAGCTATGAAACTTCGTTGAATATAAATATCAAAATAAACGTTGCATAAATTTCCTCTTACAGCACGGTACTTATTTTTCGGGCACGCTTCGTAGTTGGAGACACTAAAAAATTTTGGGAAAAATTTAAATCCATGATATGTGTCTAACTAGCGTTAACATCTCTAAATTTTATCTCTTGTTTTTTTTCGCTCATTTTTTGAGTTTAATTATTACTTCTATTTTGATTGGAGTCAACGGAATAACAGCTCCATGTTTCGCTAAGAGGCTTAAATTTTTAAATGTCCTTCGAAGAAGACTTTTTTTTTTTATTTCCATCCCGTGTTTGCAGATAAACCCTTGATATATAGTTTTCAAGAAAAAAGAACCCTCTCAAAACGCAAAACGGTAGGTTAATAGTTATCGTACCTCTAAAACTGAAGAAAACAAACTGTTTTATACTTACTTGTTCTGTCAACAAGCCATTCGGGCAGTCTTTAAGGAAGCCTTTGTACCTAAAAGATAAAAGAAATTAATCGAAATAGTTTGTTGTGCGAACAGACATTTGAATTGAATGGTGCTATATCATCCATATTCGTCACAGTGCGAGGAAGGGCCGGTATTGTCGGCAGGGCCAGTATTGTCGGCACTCAATACAGCCTGGACAAGACGCTATTCGATCTGTACCGAAATTCGCGCACGCTTCGCCATTTAAAAAGAGCCGACCTGAAAAACATCTTTAAAACGAATACTCATTCTAAAAACCGTTCGTAACATCTATTACATTGATACATTTTTTTTCATAAATAATTATATATAATAGCAACCACATTTTAGCACTACGAAAACAAACAAACATTTAGCGATTTTACTTACCATTGGCGCACTTCTTTTTCTGTAACTGAAAGGAGAAAAAACAATAATTAATTGCGCAGTACAACTTTTTAGAATAATTACAGCAAATAGGAACGCACTAATGAGAGCAGACAAAAAAAAATGCTGATTGAGGCAATTTATATTACCACGGCAATCAACCAGCAAAAAGCAAAAAAAAAATATACCAATAAAAAAGAACAAGACTAGCACGAAATCCGAGAGCGTAGTTATGCAAATAGCACGATGCAAGGGCTCACCGACGAGCCATATGCTCCCAAATTAATTGACGCACGTCGCTTATCAGCAAAACAACCAACCAAAATTTAACCCGATATGTTTAAGGACCGCCTTTACAAGAAAGAAACCTCGACGTTCATTATTGTTTCCCTCTTGGTGCAACGCGTACGCGCTCTTGCATGTTCGCGTTCTCTTTTAACCAATACAACAAGCATTAAGGAAGGACCGTTAACGAGAAGAAACTATGCAACGTTGATATGTATATATTACCACTAACTGGTGCCACTTTACAGGCGTAAATAAGGATAGATAGATATTTAAAAAAAACGATCTTTCATTTATAGGCACTTCGAGAATGCTTGAGAAGAGATAAGAGAAATTAATAATTGGCAGCATAGTTTTATCTCCAAACTTTTATAATGTATGACATGCGGTATTTAGGGAGCGATCGCTTAAATTTGTCCCGAAGACATTAAACAATCGTTTTGGTGAGTTAAGAACCTATATTCTATTTTTTTTCTTCTAATTACCCCGCTGAAGTTAGCGGGGAAGCTGAATTGGTGTACATATAGGTCTCCTCGCGTCAGGTCACGCGAAATCAATTTTCCCGTTAAATTTAGCGGGAAAGGCTTCAACGGACAACAATCTAGGTTGTGTGTGTGTGTGTGTGTATCTGGGGTGGGGGGGGGGGGGGGGAGTTCCATTAAAACGCATTTCGTACAACAAAAAAAATAGGGTATTGGTTTTAACGACCAAACGTGGTGGCAGTTCGATAACGTTATCGTTATAAAGCCAACCCTGGTCATAAACGGGGCCCAGAACTGGGCCGGCGCAACTACGCCTTTCAGAAACGCGGATGCGTTTTCGGAAATTCAAACTTAGCAATTGTAGCATATAACGGCCAAGAAGGACACAACGGATGCCCTCGCAGTGTCTTCTCACATAACCGTAAACGCCCGTTCGTGTCGGACTACGGCGCCGATGCGAACATATCGTCCAAGATAACATCCCACGACATAGCGGCAACTCCAAGGAGGCGTACATTTAGGCCGATCGAAACGGCATCAGACCCCGGACAATCTTTGAGCGGGCAATTCGGAGACGATCGTATCATGCGACCGGGAAAGTTGATGGCATTCCTTTGATTTTGAAGAGTTTAAGTATAGACTGTGTTTGTGCACCGATAATGATATCCAATAGTAGCACGGACACAATTTTGGCAAATGTTAAGGATGCATTTTTTTGTAGAGCGCATTCACTTTTTTTTAAAGCGATAAGGTCTTCACGGACCTTTCCTGCTCTTGTTGGATCGGGCCGCACCGTAGAAGGGCCATCAGAGAGGGGGTCAACAAAGACGCGCAGGTGTTGTTTTGAAGCCGTAGACACATATCTCATGCCTCGAGAACCGAAGCGTCACGTAACGTCATGATGTTACGTGACGTCACAGCGTCAAGTCACATGACATCACAACTGGCGGTGGTACGGTTGGAACTGCGTATTATTGCTCTCGCACATTCGTTGCATATTTGACGGGACGTCCCAAAGGTCTGCCTGGTCATATCCCGCACCGCCTGGTGATTGTTACACAATTGTAGAGGGAAGCAAATTAGCTCAGAAGGGGGAGGGGAAGAATCATACTTTTCGTTTTTAGTTTCTAGGCTATAGGTGTCGCGAGCTACCGCCCGTTACGAAGGGTACCGCCGTTAGCCTCCGTCCATCCATCCAACTAGGTAGGAGATTGAGCAGCTACAAAACAACGCCTTCTTCGCACTCGATCGACCCGTCTGACCACGCTGTTTTGGATATACCTTCGTTCATTTTCAGGATTTCTATTCGGTATTCTTGGTGATGAGGAAATCTCGTTCGCGTTTAAGGCGGACCACGGAGTCATCATCGCCCAGGTCATGCGAGCCTTTCTCGGGATCGCGCTTCCACCAGCAAACACACCCTACTTTCTCGCGGTCCGGATCCACGCCGCCCACCAAATAAAAAAAAAAAAAGTTACAGTGGTGGTAGAAGACGATAACCTACGCCATACAAACGAAGCCGATTTGATAATCTAAAATAAAAGACCAAGCCTCCAATAAAAACAGTTCGGTTCGTGATGTGACACGACGCCGTGATCTTTGCTGCTGTTGCTTTGTTCTGGTCACGCGACCGTAATCCTCTCTTATTCTTTTCTTTTGTTTTTTATTCCCGAACCGCGAAGAAATTAAATAAATGCCCCGTGTTTTGCATATCCAATAGAATTGTGAGAATCGCAGTGTGTAAAGAGTTCCGACCAACCTGTTATCGTGGCACTGAACGATAAGAACGTAGAATGACGAATCACAAAGCAATCAACGTGAATATCATATCATATAAGCCCAGCCCTGTGTTTCTCCGGATGTCCGTGATAATAGTGTCCCTATACACCCACACAGTGTTTGCAAGGGGGCCCGCTTTGATGTCACCAGGTGTGGGCACTCCGCGCGCGCAGAAACCAAATTTGGGAGGAGTCAAGCGCCTGCGCATGCGCAGTACCGACAGCAGCGCCACCGCAGTTGCGTGACGTCAGTGACTTGAGTTGGTCTACATACTCAACTCACGTTTACAAACAAACCGGAGCGCCTCTACGGGCACGCCACCGGCGCCGCGCATGCGCGATGGGTTGGGGGCAAGAAGAGCCGCGTCCCACGTCAACAAACCATTGGAATGGAATGTTGTCGGCGTCAATGTAAGTCCCCGTGATCTCTTTTTTTTTTGCCGTTGGAATAATTGGTTTTACGTTTTCCCATTTATGGCTTACTACTTTAGTGGCCCGAGCGACATTAACGAGGCTCGTTACCGCAAAACTTCGCGTAAATAATGTGACTTGCGGCGATTCATTGCGCGTGAACGCCGCAGAATGGACGCTAAAGCCTAGCTGATTCACACAATAAGACTCTGCTCGCTTTTGTTTGTCTTTCTTTTTTTTAGTCTCGACGTTGCACGGGTTCCAAAAACGTGGACGGTACCTGCGATGCTCAACGCCGATAGTGAAAATCGCAAGCAGGATAAGAACAAGTGGATCAGGCATATCAAGTCGGTGCTGGCGACAGATAACAGTGATCAACATCCCTTTATATCTACTGTTTACACCGAGCCTACTTAGCCCAAACAACCTCCAAACTTTTAGAGGTCTTTCGAGGCCCGCGCTTACTTCTTATCGCAGTTACTGGGTCGAAGTTTGGTGTGCGGGCCGCTGTTGTTTTAACGAGCAGACAACACTTTGAACAAGCAGACGAATTTGAGAGAGCAGACTACAGTTTGAACGATCACACGGCTAAAATAAGGTTGAGAGCTTGGCTAGTTGGTAGCTAGACGGCCGTTTGAATGTAAAGATGTACTGAACGTGGTCCGCGGGTGGTCCGGATAACTTGACTATTTTCCCGCGTTCATGTTGTAACAAAGCAAATAAATCTGGCGACCACAAGTATCCGTGAATTCAATCCGAATTGCTTCCCGCACAAGCAACCGTGACCCGATGGTGTCTGGTTCTCTGGTTTTATTTTTTCACGGCACCAATTCACGTTCTCGGATAAACTGAGCAGGCAGAAAACACACGAGAACTGAAGTTCACACATTTCCCGGCTCCTTCGGTGCATCCTTAGTTTCGGCGTTTTGACAAAAAGGCAAGATTATGTATGGTTTCTTTCAAAACAACACAGGAATGCCCGTTGACAGGCCTACCTGTGTTGTTTTGGAAGGAACACTGGGGACTTCCGCCCACACCCCCAGACCGCAAGTGCGCCCGAAGAACCACTACCACGGCGTGACGTAAATGACTTGCCTCCCGAGCTGAGCGTCGCATTCTCACGGGCTTACGCCTTTTGTGATGCATAATTTCTTCACCCGGGACAAAAAAAAAAAAAAAAAAAAAATAAAGGTTCTTTTTTCTCGGGAACTCCCGTTAAATATATCTTGAGGCATTTAACTGTTCTGCACACCTCTGAGACTGAGGTCCAGTAGATTCTTTACAAAATTCTCCACTAACAAAGCCCAATTCACGATTGGGTGTTTTTCCGAATGTTGAAAAGCAGATAACGGCGGGAGTATTGTGTATTTTGTGTTTTGAAACGCGAAATTTTATATTACAGGGAATGATTATTTCTGTTTCTTAGTAGAGGCCTCGTTTTCTAAATTAACGGTAACGGTTAGATCGCTTTGCTCGACACAACGATTAATCATAATAATAATAATAATAATAATAATAATAATAATAATAATAATAATAATAATAATACATTTACTGTATGGAGCACAACACTGTTTGCGTGACGGGCGCATCAAAGCCAAAACAAGGCTTGTGTGATGCTACCCTAAAATTAACACTAAACATTGCTACAAAAGGAAATAAGACAGATTGACATACACACGTCCTTAGAATGTCCCAAAGTCAAAGTCAGCAGTCGGGTGCATGCAACACACAAAATCACGCCTCCAAATACTGATTCAAGTACATAGATAAGGCTTAAAAGAATTTAATATAAAAAATAACGATAATCACGAAGACCAAAGTGTCGCGCCTGATGTGTAAAAGAAAAAGAAGAAATAGTCAGGCGAAAAACGAAATCGCAGTACACGGCGTCCAACGAGCGATTGTCCAGGACGTCCAGGCTAAACAAGTGAAACCCACACTGGAAAACACTAAACAAAGTAAAACAGAGATCATCAAAAACTCATACTTCTAAGTGATTTCTTAAGTTTACGGAGCGAAGTAAGGACTAGAAGCTCGGGCGGCAGCTGTGAGAAAAGCTTTGGAACGTAA